TTCCAGCAGGGGAGGGTTTCAAACCCCCTGCAAAGTTGTTACAGTTCTGCTCTGCCCTGCTCCAGAGAAGTGTTACAGGTCTGCTCAGCTAGGGGGAAGTTTCCCCAGTGAAAATTTTACAGTTCTGCTCGGCTCTGCTCTGCTTTGGCTCATGCTCTGCTGTAGGCAAACTTTTCTTTCCCATCTGCCAGTTCCCAAATAACTGACACAGAGACTCAATAGTAACTATAAATGCTTGGCCATAATAGCTCAGGCTTATTACTAACTAGCTCTTGAAACCTAAATTAACCCATTTCTATTAATCTACATTCTGCCACTTGGCATCATTCTCTTTCATCTTGTACCTCCTGTTTCCTCTCTCTGTCTGGCTGGTAACTCTCCTGACTCCACCCTTCTTCCCAATGTCCTTAGTCTGGCTTTCCTGTCCAGCTATTGGCCAGTCTACTACCTTCTTTATTAGACCAGTCACAGCATAATTTACACCGTGTACAAAAGGATTATTCCACAGCATTGCTCTGCCCTGCTTCAGCTCTGTTGACAGTTGTTATAGTTGGGCTCACTCCAGTGAAAGTGTCACACCATACAACAAAACTCACTTGAGATTCATTGGGAAGGAAAAATCCAGGAGGGTGGCTGCCTCTAGGGTGAGGAGCAGCAAACTGAACAGGGTACAGAGCTTATATAGCATTTCTTAGGGGATGGGGGGCAGAGCTTTCCAGGATGACTTGGAATTAGTGGATTTTTGTGGTCTGATTCTGAGTCAAGCTCAGGGATTAGTAGGATACTGTGCTTAGGGACCTCAGAGATTGGTGGGATTCTGCAGCCTGACTCTGGGGCAAGCTCAGGGATTGGTGAGATTTCAAGCCCTGGTCTTAGGGTTAAGGCCCTTGGCCCTTTTCACCCTACAGGTATTACAGGTAAGCCACCATACGCTCCTGGCATTTATGTGGATACTGTTGAAACTTCTGTCTTTTTTTTTTTCTTTTTTTAATGTTTGAGATTGTCATAGTCTTTACTTGCTAAGCTATTATTCTATTGTGGTTTATTATTCCCTATAACGTGGATGAGTTTGCCTTTTTCTTTATTCTGAAGGATTCCTTCAAGTATTTAATGTCAAGCACTGGCCCTCATGTCAGGCCTAATGCCAGTAAGTTGGGACAAAAGCTCTGTGTCACACCGTCAAACCCCATGGGCTGGAAGGGTACCTAGCTGTGTGTCACAAATCCCTTTATCCTATTTGCATCATGGAAAGTGTTTTTTCTTCAGTTATGTCAAATAGTTTTTCTGTGTATAGGATTCTGGGTTAGTGATCCATCCTATCTTTTAAAGATTCTCTTGAGGAATTTGTTATTATTCTGATGGGCCTGCCTTTTATGTGACTTTATGTTTCTTATAATTTACAACATATTTTGTTCTGTATCTTTAATGTTTTATTCACAATATGATATAGGAAAGTTCTGTTCTTGTCTTTTTTTTTTTTCCAACTTCCTCCTGTGCCTGACTGGGCATCTCTTTCCTTAGATAAATGAGAAATATTCTGCATACCTTTAGTTGAAAATGTTTTCTGTGCCTTTCATATGAAATTCTTCTCCTTCTCCATGCTCATGACTTGTAGACTTGGTCTTTATTCATAGAGTCCCATACATTATGTTTACCCTTCCTTATTAATTCGTCTTTGTCATTGTCTGCATATCCACGTCATCTATCTTGTTTTCACCCCTAGTTTTCTGTCCTCCCCTAGCTGTATTCCACTTATTCTATGGAGCTTCCTATTTGATGTAGTTAACTTGGAATTTCTTGTATTTCACTTGATTTTTGTTTTTCTTATTCCACTTTCATATCCTGTATTGACTTGTTTCTTTTTATTTTTATGTGTGTGGGTATTTGGCCTACATGTATGTCTGTGCATCACATGCATGTTGTGACTGTGGAAGCCAGAAGAGGGGACTGGATCTCCTAGAACTTGAGTTACAGGTGGTTTTGAGCCTCTGTCTCAGTGCTAGAAATTGAACACAAGTCCTCTGCAAGAGCAACAAGAACTCTTAACTGCTGGGCCATCTCTCCAGCCCCTCCATCTTATTTTTTGAGATAAGGCTTTTACTGAACCTGGAATTTCTTGGATTGCCCAGACTGGCTGGCCAGCCAGCTCTCAGGATCCACCTATCTCTGCTCTTCCAGTACAGGAGACACAGACATACACCACCATGCCTGGGTTTTATGTGGGTGCTGGGGATTAGACTGACTGAGCCATCTACCTAACCCGGACTCCTTCATTTCTTTTAGCTATTTTTGTTCTCATAGAATTCACTCAGGCATTTATTTATGTCCTCTTTGATATTTTTGAATAACTTATCATCATTCTTTTGAATTAATTATTTGGGATTTGATATAACTTACTCTCATTAAAGGACATTACTGTGGGATAAATGATTCTTTGGAGGAATCATTTTGCCTTGAATTTTCATGTTTCTTTTGTTTTCACCTCGAGACTTGCACATCTGGTAAATCTTTGATTTGTTTTCTTCTAAATCACCCTGTTCTTTCATTTGAAGTGATCGCAGTGTAGGAAAGTGACTGAGCTGTAGTAAGGTTATGGTGTTGTTTTCTACTAGACTCCATGTCTAGCTTAGTAGTTAGACCCTCGACCCACATGTTCAGGCACCAGGCTTAATCCCTACTACACCTCTGAAGGTAGAACGCTGTTTGCAAAAGCAATCATTATCAAAGATAGGCCAGCTCACTGTAAAAATAGAGTAACGGTCAAATAAAAAAAACAGTCACCACCAAATGCTAGTCATTTCAGGAAGTAAAGGAAAACTGATAGTGCCGTGTGCACTAAGATGTTAGTTACTGTGTATAAGTGGGAAGGGAAAGCAGAGTGAGACTAGTGATTAGTATTGGCTTGATGGAGAAAAGGGGAGGAGGGGGAAAGTAATAGAGGGACCAGTGAGGAGAGGTAAAGAAATCCAAAAGGCAGTCAAGAAGCCCTATCCTCTAGGAGGCGGCAATAACAAAACTGCACACACAAACCAAGCTGTTATGTTCTTGAGGAAAGCCTGTCCACAAAGACGGGAAAAGAAAGTCTAGAGTTGGAAAAAAAAGAGACATCAGAAGATACTATTGTTTTCCTAAAAGGGAAGAAAGAAGCCCTAGCCTGAGGGCCTCAGTGTGCCAAAGCCTAAGCGCTAGGCCTGGGGTGCCCAGTCCAGCCCAGGTGAACATGGGAGAGCACTGGGTCCTCTCTGCGCCTGCAGCTCTGTCGCCATTGTGGCTAGCCTTCAGTGCCTTTCCTAACCCGGGGTTGCCGCCTCAATCTTGGATCTGGGGTCTAGGCATAATCTCAGAGTCCTCTCTTGCTGAGAGCTGCTGGTAGCAATGGTTTTACCAGAGACTGTGGGAGTACACACCAGGTGACAACTAGTATTCAACAGGTTGACCCTCCAGGCGAATAACTGATGGGGAGCCCCACCTGGCAAGGACCATGGGGTCACTGAATGTAAATGACCGGTTGCTCCTGTCTGTAATTCCTCTCATTTGCCACTACATTTCTTCCCTAAAAACTGCTATGGGTATTTCCCACTGCTTGTGTGTTTATCTCATGTATATATTTCATCTATTGGGCACACTTATAGCTGTGGATGGCCAGGAAGATGATTCCTGCCTAAATTGTATAATTCTGATGAATAGAATACTAGGATATTTTTCATTACTCATACCAACATAGGAAGATGGCAATGTTCCCAGCTACAAAGACAGCCTTTTACTCATTTTGCTAAGACCTCAGAGCAAATCCAAAATAGACTGAGTTGCCTGTGGAGACAGTTTGCTCAAGGACAAATTCCCAAGTGTCTATTGAACCAAAGTCAGGCTGATACATTGAGACATAGCTTCCTGTATAGGTCCTCTTGGCAGTTGGCTTTCTGCATGTACTCCCTACTTCAAGGTTCAGCCAACTGTTTATCGTTTAAGTACTGAATTTCAATGTCACTTCCTGTCTGGGAACCCTGACCACTTAGAGCTATGTACACAGCCAAGCCTTACTCACTGACCAGTCAGCATGACCTCCCTAGCCTGAGAGAAACCGTGTGACTTATCCTGTGTTATGACAATGGGTCAGACCCTGAAAATGTAACAGATAATTGTCCGGAGTTTGGCTGTTGAATTGTGTGTGTGCTGAAAGGGAAATGTAGCTGAGTGTGTAGAGAGAGAATGTGTGAAGATATGTAACTGTGTGGAGACAGAGATGTGTATGTAGGACAGAGATGTGTATGTACAGGAGAGTGAATGAGTGAGAAAATGAATGAGTAAAGAGTGAGTGGATGATGTAGTAGAGTGTGAAGGACTATAACAGGGTAGAGAGAAGAAAGAGATGTAACTGTATATAGAAATATATGGCTGTGTAGGAGAAAGATGTGCATATATATATAGAGAGAGAGAGAGTGAGAGAGAGAGCAGTGTGTAAAGAATATAGCTGTGTGGAAACAGAGATTGTCGGAGAGAGGACTTTTTAGGCTGAAGGAAAAGAGAAAGTTACCATCAGAAGGCATGCTTTTTCCTTATTTACCCCTCAGATAGAAGTCCAGCCCTCGCCACATTCATGGCTTTTTTTTTTTTTTTTTTTTTTTTTGGTATACCCTGGTGCTGACTGGAGGCTGGACCTCTAGTTAGCAGGACTCTCTATTTGGGGGGATACTGTGACCTCAAGGATGATACAGATGTCTGTGGAAGAGTCACCACCATCTCCTGAGAAACTGGGACAAGGGTGGTATTGTTCTCTCCGGTGAACTTGTTGAACCCACACCGGAAGTAGCAGTGACAGCAAACCAATTCCAGAATCCAAGTTCTCTTCCAGTGTTCTCCGGGCTCCTAATCTCTAGCACCTCACGTGGTGGAATGGGGACCCCAAAGGATGAGCTGCAGGAGGCTTGGGACATAGCAGTCTGGCAGCACTCACTAGGAAACACCACGTTTATTGGAGACTTGTGTCTGTTCCTCTTCAGACTCTGGCCCTAACCAGCTTTGCACCTTGCTAAACATGGAGTGGATCCCATCCAGTTCTTCCCCGCACAGCTTTGCACATCTGGTAAATCCTTGATTTGTTTTCTTCTAAATCACCCTGTTCTTTCATTTGAAGTGATCGCAGTGTAGGAAAGTGACTGGGTGATAGTAAGGTTATGGTGGTGTTTTCTGCTAGACCCCATGTCTAGCCCAGTGGTTAGACCCTCAACCCTCATGTTTTGTAGTGTATTGCTGGTGAGGTTTCTGTGTCGTCCCAGGATACTTGCTGTGAGTTCTCTGTGTGTGACTGATGGAAGGTCTGGATTGCCAAGCCCCTAACTCAGCAGGGAGCTCTTTTAAAATGCCAATCTTGGGCTGCTCCTGTTGAGTGCTGCCCTGGTCAGATGCCCAGCAGAAACCTCCTTGTTCTTAATGACTGAATAATACTCTGTTGTGTGTAGAAGAATGAGAATTTTAATATTCTGACATGAATGCCACTCAGCAATCTCTGCAAGTGGAGTTGGCCTTGGCTAGTTGTATGTTAGTCTACCATCCTTAAGGACAAGCAACTACTACTTATTAAGTACTGTGTTTCCAGTACTAGGCTCAGCAGATCTGTACAGCAAATTACAAGATAGTTATTTTCATTGTCTTCATGGACAATAAACAAATACACAAAACTTACTAAGAAATTTGACCAAAGACACTGCCACTTAAGTTACAGAGCCGGAACTCCGGCTAAAAGTCAGCATGACTCAGAAAGTCTGGCCTTTCCATGATTTCATGGTTCTTCCCAAAACAAGTGAAGTCATCTGGTCACCCCAGCTTTCAGATTATACATTAATATAACAGACATTGAGTCAACCAGTCTAATATGTCTGACTGGGCTTAAGATTTGAACAGTAACCTCCAGTAGTAATACCAGATTCCAGTCAGATACAGAGGCCAGCGGCATTACCCAAGGGTCGCAGCCATGGCAAGATGCCTCCAAAGCTGTTGTAGGGGGCAAAGTAGACTCTCGCACGGCTCACTTGTCCTGTGGCCTGGGAGGAGACTGGGGTCCCCTCTCCTACTTTAGCTCTCCAGAGCCTGACTGCAGTGTGTCACTGTTTCACTTCCTAACCTGACAAGATTTAGATTATGTGACATTTCTGTATTTATTTCCCAATGGGAAGAAATCCGCTATATCTTCTGTGTCGACGATACAATTTTTAAATCCATACTTTCCTAGAATGATTAGTAATTTACCAAATTTGGGGAAATGCAGGAAAAAATTCTCAGGTAATTAGTTAACAGAATTATGACATTTATCTCATTTATTGGGGGATGACCTAGACACTTGTAGGGGTCAGCTGGTAAATTACAGGAGTCAGCTCTCTGCCTCTGTCATGTGGCTCTTGGGGATCGAACTCAGGTCGTCAGGCCTTGGCAGCAAGCATCTTCACCACTGAGCCATCTCACCAGCCCTCAGATAATTCTAAAGAACATTTCCCGAACGTATTAATACGTCACCAAAATCTTTTAGGGGCTTTTGGATAATATGCCATTCCTTTCCGTTATCCCCCGTACCTCAATTCTTTGTGCATTTATGCAAGACCAGCCTTGTAGCTATTCTCTGTTATTTGTAGACGTGCAGACTGACTTGTCCATTACCAGACTCTTACCAAGTTAGGTTTCTTTCATTCATAGAAGAAATTGTATCACTAAATCATGTTTTGAAATTTCCAATAGGCACTAGTTACTTGTTGTAGAGTAAATAAAAACTTAATTTAAAAACCTGTTTTCATGTTATTTACCAGTACGTGTTGTTCTTATGTACTATCTGGATCATGTATTTGTATTGATAATCCAACATTTCTATATGGCACAAGCTACATTAGCTCTTTCTATCTTCTAGGGTACTGAAAGTTCTTCACTTTTCAACTTAGGAAAACTTGCTTCCTGTGTAATTTGAATCTGAGTTCCTGCATTCCCCTGGATGCTCTCCCCCATTGCTTTCTCTGGTTCCTACTATGCATATTTGCAGTTTGGGTTTTTTGTTGTTGCACACACAGATTTTTCTTTGCTAAATTAACAACTCTCATCTCTTCTTACCATATTGATTTTAAGAAACACTTGCTAATTTTTGTAACATCTGAGACTCGTCTGCTTTGTGAGCTTCCTTAGAGATTGGGCTTTGATTCTTAATGTTTTCTAATTTCCTTTTTTTTTCTATTACTATCCAGATTTGTTTAAATTTTAAAACCTCTTGTGAATTTTCATGACACCAGAAATAGTTTTTTTGAATCAGCCCTTATACTATATACTGAATTTGTTCCATGTCTGTAATCATAAAAGTGGGACTAGTCAGTCACTTGTTTCACTGTCAACAACACATCCCTACGGTGGCCGTTTAAGATGATGATGGTAATTCTTCTTATCCTTCAGATTCTTCTAAAGTTGTCCTAGAATAATTAAAATAGGCAATTGCAGGAGAGTTGCAACATTTCCGCTGCCGTTGCCCATTCAGATCGGTCTTTTCCTCTTTCCCCGGCGCCAGTTCCCTTCGCTCAGCACCACTTGCAGCTGCTGCTGCAGCAAGAATGACACTCAGGATTAAGTGAACAGGCACCTGACACGTACGTACGTACGTACCGTGAAGGCTTCAGGTAACTAAGAGATGTAAAACATCCCCGGTAATGTGAAGAGGTCACTGAACTTTTCCGAAGAACGAGACCTTATGAATCGGAATGCCTTCTTAGACTGTGTGAGTAGCAGGCGTTCCTCTGCTTACCCAGGCTCTTGAACAAAGGACAGCTTCTTTGGCTCACTTAGGATATAAGACTAACTTCACTTTCCTTAATAATATTGGCTTTATGACTATTAGGAAAACGATGAAATGAAAGGTTTCTTTTCTGTTAGATTTGGATGTGGATTTTCATAATTATTTTAAATTTGTTACGCATAAGATTTAAGACATCTGACTATTCAGTGGGCTGAGACGGATGGAATGTCACACTGTCATCACATGGTAAGGCATGAAATGTATTTGCTTTACACAATCAACCTCTACTAAAAACAACCTCACACAGATATCCCTTAGTCAATAGATGGCATTCTGTAGCACTTGGCATTTTCATTTTTTCTAGAGATATTAAAAAATGCCCTCATTGTTTGTCTGTGTCTAGGAATTCCAGTAAACAAAATGTTTTTGAAAAGAATGTAAGCAAATTGTAGAGCAGTTGCCAAGATAAGAAATCAAGACACTCAGTTTCAGTCCAAAACATATTTTATGTTTTGAGAATAACTGTGTAGGTTGCTGAATGCATATTTCAAATGCAGTATAACCATCTGAACTTTACAGTGTTCAAAAAAGTTGATTGTTTCAGCTATTTGTAACAGAAACTATTTCAGAACTTCTAGCTCTGGTCTTTTGAAAGAAGCACAGACTGTTTTCTTTAGTTAACATCCATTGTAAAATTCATCTTGGTTCTAGGATTCTGAAGTTACCAAAGTCTTTAAGCTCTATGACAAGTTGCAGCCCCTTTTGTACTGACACCATAAAATAGTTTGATGTGGCACTGCCTTTTCGTTCTGGCCACCACTGAGGTATTTTTAACAAAAATATGTTTTGCTTCTCTCAACTCAGTCCTGAAAAAGTCTTCATCAAATTGGCTAAATCCTTTTTCTTCCTGAAGACTACTATCCTTTTGGCTTTTCATCTTGGAAATATCTTTGGGGGGGGAGGCAGAGACTTCAGTTTTAAAAGCACTCATTTGAGTTTAAAGATTCCCTTAAACATTTCCCCATGTGCTGTCCTAGATTTATGTGGAGATAGCTGCTAATTTTGTACCACAAATTCACATTAATGGACATGGCAGCCCTCAGCTCTTAATACGGACTTGCCGTTGTGCATGCGGCATGGGTCCCGCCTCTACTGTGGATGATAGTAATGTGCTTCTCTTCTGCCGATCATCACTGCTGGGGAAATACTACCAACTGCTGGAAATGCTTACTTGAGATCTGCCTTGGAGTTAAGGAAAACCAAACAGGTTTATTACTTTTCAAAGTCTTTTACATAATTTTCTTCCATGATTTAAATTTTTATGCTTTACTTAAAGAATAATTTTCTTTTGAAAAAAATCTGTAGCCCATGTGAAAATTATACATTTGGACTCACTCACTAGCAATTACGTGTTTAAAGGTGTAAATAACTTGCAAGCAGACAGGACAAACATCCAGGTGTTCTTATGTGCTGATGACAACAGAATTGAAAAGAAAGACTGTAATAATTCTGACTGGTTTGCTCTGCAGAAGATATTGATTATTTGTGTGTGGTGAGAGATTTGGAAAATTCAATTAAAGGAGTTGTGCAAAGGTTTCATAAATTTCCCTTCTCCAGCGTGTACACAGACATTGTTGCCTTTTAAATCAATGCAGCACTTCACAATATATTTTCTTTGAAACATAAAAATAAATAACATTTAAACAGTTCTGCTTACTACAGAAACAAATTTTATTTTCTGTGAAGCATTTAGTCATGTGCTATCACTGACTCATACACATTTGCCAGCTGTAACAAATTTTATGGACACTTCCCTGGAGACATTGCTCACATACTATGAATTTTTAAATGAACAAATGGTGAAGAAGGGATGTCAGCAATATAAAAATTGATCAGTTAAAAGATAAAAGCATAAGTAAAGAGATTTGTATGGTAGCCTTAATAGGTTTTATTAAATAAAAATACTATAAAAAGACAGTAATGAATAGACTGAGGACTGGCTGTTCTTGAGGAGGAGAAGAATTATCCTGGCACATTTATAGAAATTGGTTTTTTGTCACCTGACAGGTGAACAGTTTCCATTTTAACCCTGAAAAGCAGAAAAACTCACCCCACCCCCAAGACTCACATCAAATTGCTAAGTGGCATACATATTTTAGACACTTATATAGCAAAGTATATTTGCATTGTTATATAGCTAATTATGTTAGGTGGTTTCCTGTCCATCACAGACTCAAAAGAGAAGGGAGGTCATTGTATTCACACTTAGTTTCAGCCCACTGGAATGGCTGGGCCCCTCTGCCGCTTTCCTTCCAGCAGATCGCTGTCTCCTCTCCTGCTCATCTAACTGCTCAATCGGTCATGATGGCCCATCCTCTGGGACACTCCCCATTCTCCCAGGAGCAGCACAGTTGCTGCATATTGTAGGCTCCCATGGTAGTTGTCAGTGTTTGTTAGTGACTGCAGTGTGTTTGTGTAGAGCATCATCACGCTCAGATTGCTGGCCTTTCTGTGGACTAGTCTGTATTGCAGCCGCAGAGCCTAGGTCAGAATCTGAAGAGAGGGCTGGTTGTAGCTACAGCAGAGCACCTACACAGAGCCCAGATCAAAGGTCCTTTATGCAGTCCAGTGGCTGGGTAAATGTCTAGTCTAAGAATTTTAAAATATTATCTATCAGAGGCACCCAACAATAGTGATGTCTGACTCCAAGAATTATCTAAGCATTTTCAAACACTTAAGTTTTTTTGTTGTTGTTGTTTTGTTTTGTTTTTGGTTTCATTGAGTGAGTTGGTTGATTTATTTTGGATGGGGGACTCACTGTGTAGTCCTAGGCAGCCCAGAACTTGCCATTTAGATCAGGCTGGCCTCAAATCCAGAGATCCACCTGCTTCTGCCTCCCAAGTGTTGGGATTAAAGGTTCAAATACTTAGGATTGCTCTGTTCATGTACTTCATTAATTGTTTACAGAATGCCTGTCATGAATTAGTCTTCTGACCTTAGAGACACCAACAAGACAGACATTGTTCTGCCCTCAGAAGTAGAGTCCAGCAAAAGAGCAAGTAACCATAATGAGGCATGAAAGTATAATAGCAATAGCATTACATGTTGATACTCTTTGTAGTAATGTAAAAGGCATACAACAAATACCTTGGCTATTATAACTTTAAAATATATATGCTGAAGTAGAACCAGAGTAACCTCTGAGATGTTGAAATAAAAATTATAAAGCCTAAACTTTGTTTATTATGTAAAATAAAAGTTGAGGGTTTTTTTTTAAAGATTTATCTATTTTTATTTTGTGTATCGATGTTTTCCTGCATGTACATAAATGCACCATATGCATGCAGTCCCCACAGAGGGTACTGAAGAGGGCATCCGATCCCATAGAACTGGAGCTGTAGATGGTTGTAAGCTGCTGTATGAGTGCTGTATGACCCTGGGTCTTCTGCAGGAGCAGTGAGTGTTCTTAACTGCTGAGCCAGCTTTCCAGCCCCCAACTTTTGTTCATTTTAATTTCACTTGATTTGGTATTTACTTTGTATCATATAGTGTGGCAAGTTATTCTGAACTCTTTTCATCTCTTTTTTTTCATGTAGAACATCATCTTGACAGCTTTGAATTCTTAAAAGCCATTTTGAACTGAGGTAATGTCTTGCTTTTCTAATTCAGCTAACCTTGTTAAATTTCACGGTTTTGGTCATGTAAAAACATTTAATTTACATTGTAAGATTTAATTAATTAGTTGGCTATAGCTTTCCTCTAGAGCCATTACTACTATTTTGTAAAGAGAATCTTTTTCTGGTAGCTAACTATAACATATAAACTACCAGTATGTCATGATGTGATATGTTCAGTACTTCACTAGATGGAATATGCCTTGCTTGCTTCAGACATTTTCTTCATTTCATCCACACCTCTGACTGGTCCTTACCCTCGTGAAGAGGGCTTCCATCCCAAGAGTAAACCAATCTCAGCTGCTACGCTATCTCAAGTATATTTATTTTATCACTTCTCCATCAAAATTGTTCTTCCTCTACCTTTCTAGGGTTTATAGCACTCAGACCAGCTTAAAAACTCAAAACAATTCAGAAGTGATATGATGTAGCAGCATTTTAGGTGTGGAGATGGAATTTTGAGCTATTCTAAGTCATACAAGTTCAGACTCTTGTTCTAGGGTTCTGGCCCATTGCACAAAAATTGTGACTCTAATGAGGATCAAAGTATCAGCTTGGAGAAATAGATGTCCCATAGGGCAAGCCCTCTGGCACAAAAAAGTTAGTAATTAACATGGACAGGGCCTTAAAGCAGAAGTGTAATCACCTAGAATTCACACCAAACTAAACTTGAACTCAGTGCACTGCCCCAAACCTGAGGGGAAAGCTTGGTTGTTAAGTGTGTGAAGACCACAGACCTGCCTTGTGTTCATGATTGCAACTGGCCATGTGAGGACAAGGTACTCTCCTGACCACACGCAGCTAGGAAGCACAAAGGCCCATGAACTTGAGATCGGCAGTGATAGTGAAACTACACATGAGAAAGAATGGTGTGTAAAATTAATGACCTATGATATCAGTAAAATGTAGGCCAGTCAGTGTTCTGGATTCTGCCTTTCATGGGGTGTATAGCAAGGAATAGTTGATAATAGATATAAACATTGCTTTCTGCTGTGAGTGCCAGCGAAGAAAAAGCAGTGTTGGAAAGTTCACAACAGACATAGATCGGCTCAGGAAGGCGTGACAAGGAAACTAGCTAGAGACTGGGGACTTGACACCAGCTTGAGCAGTGTGGTGCACACAGCCGCAATCCCAGCGCGGGAGAAGATGAGCTGTACACCTGGGCTTCACAGCAAGCATGTCTTAAAGGTGGGAGGGACCATCCTACTAATTCTGCTCTACATTATCTCTGTCCAGGAACCATTTACATTCTATTAATAGGTGCCCTGGACTTTACTAGCAGAAGAACTGAGAAAACCTGCTCTCTGTTTCTCCTTTAAGTCAGGATTCCACTAATACAGCCAGGCCTGATCACACTCCTCCTCCCTCCTCCTCCTAAGAGCTGGAATGACAGACATGTACTAAATATACCTGGCTTCCAAACCATGGGTGGTTTGGATGGGTTATGTAAATATGCCTACGTAAGCACAAAATAACAGGAAGTGAGACTAAGGGAAGCTCGGGGCAACACAGACGGTCGCCAGCCTCATACAGCCAGAGATGGCCCAGCAGCGAAGAGTATGAGGACAGCAAGTATCTAAAGTATGCCATAGAATATGCGGTTGCCCTGAAGGACGAATACTGCCACTATCTGTTATACCGTAACATAACTCTTAGTAAGTTTCTGCTTGGTCCTGGATTTGACTTCAAAATCAAAATAGTTCTCCCAACAATCAGGGTCAGCTGATGAACACTTTTTTTTTTTTTTTTTGCAGTGTCTGATATTACAAAAAAAAATAAATGTTTTAAAATCCAAAGATGTTTAATGCCACCTCTGCTACGTACCTATAACCCTACTCATGTCCTAGGTTCCCCTCAGCCTGGATTGTAAATGGGGCTTGTGATCCTCCTTGGTGAGAGTAAATCAGCCTAACTAGCATCTCCTCTATGGTAATGTTAATACGAGCTTTTCTCCCCTTTCTAGTGTTACCTTCACGTCTGACTACTGTGTCAGTCTACATGGGTACCAGTCAACCTGTAAGAATGCAGACCAGACCGAAATGAAGAGTCAGTGAAAGTAGACCGTTAAGTTTACAACCCATCTAAGACAAGAAATGGAGTATTTGTGGATTGTTCTAAATAAGAAAAAATAAACGAGTCCATTGTGCACTGCCTTCTTATGTAAAAATCTGTGTGTGTGCCTGTGTGTGTATGTTGGGGGGCGGCAGGTATATATTTACCATGGTACAGGTCCTCACATGTCAGCCCACCATCCACCTTAAGACGGGGTCTCTGGCTCACCAGTGTATACACCACTTAGCTGGCCTGTGAGCGCCCAGTGAGTACAGATACATGCTGCCGCCTCTGGCTTTATCTGGGTCCTCGTGATCCACATGCAGGTTCTCACACTGAGCCGTCCCCCAGCCCACCACTGTTCATGACTTCTAACTGCTGCTGAACATGAGGAGGGAAAGAGCCACCACGTGCCTGCAGGCAGGACGGTTTCATCAGTTGCCAGTATCTTCCCTGACGCAGTGCTCCTAAGGCTAAAGGAGATCATCTGTCACCACTAGGAGTCCCCAGTGGGACACACTGGGTAGGAATCTGTCCCAGTCACCACACAGGCCCTTCTTGGCAGCTGCTGAAGAAAGCATCTGCTGGAGTCCCTTAAGCCCTGTGGACAAAGGCATCCAAATTGTGTTGTCAGTGGGTCCTGTTGGAGTATCAAAATTCTCTCAAAAGTATTTCTCATATTTCTTTACACAAAAATAAAGAGTGCCATCAGAATAGCTAACTAATTTGTGAAGGTGAGTCTTACTCAGAAGACTCAAAAATAAGCAAATGGAAGCTTATCAGTATCTAAAGTAGGTACCAAATTACATGGCAAATAGCATTTAAATAATTTCTTAAGGGATGCATGAGATAGATATATGTTAATTTGGAAACTAATTCATGATGATGATGTAATAACCATCTTCTATATCCCAAAGGCACTTGGAAGAAATGTACTCACGGTGAACAGTGTCTGCATCTGCCTGATCATATTTAAAGGCACAGAAGAAATGTGTGTAATTAATCTGCCCAGTAAATACCAACTTGTAGCACTAGGCAGGTGCAAGTCTAGATAAAATTTCTTGCAGCTAATTTAAACTTTCTACACACACCACTGGATAATCTCAATGTAAATAATACATTTCTTCTTGACCCTTTAAGCCTTGCGGTACAGGACAGTCCTGACTTCTGCTGCACATCACCTATGTTCCTGTCCACGTTTAACACTTGTGGATAGAGTTATGACTCTACCTTTGTAGAGTAACATACTTGACTGAAACTCACAATACGCCAGGCAAACCAGGAACCAGCTTTCCCCCGTACAGTCCCAGCCAGTTTTTAATTTACAGGTTACTTTGTGTTTATTGGAAATTGGTAGTGTATGGTGGAACTGGTGTCTCCGGTGTGTGCTGTTCCACTCTGGGGACCGTTGTCTCTGCTCAAGAGAAAATTATTGTGAACGTTTTAAGATTTCACACATTTAGAAAACACTGTAATGAATCCAGGACAGACATTTAAATATTCAGTTGGTTTTGACTAAATTCAGACTCCAATAAATTTAAAGCAAAGGCCTTTACTATAGGGCAGAACGTGACCCCTTCCAGATTACTTGAAGCATTAGCTTAGATGTGTGATTCTGTGGTGTTTGCATTACAGTCTGTTTGCACTGTAAGGATAAAGGGGAAGGAGAACCATATACTGTCACATCTTTATAACATAGTTTCGAACACTTACATACTTAAACACTGCTACAAGGAAGTAAGTGCTGTTCTCTTGGTACTTGCCTTAAGTAAGTTTTGACAAAATTAGTCTAAGATGTCACTTGATGCAGTATTACTTAAAAAATAAAAACTTTGTAGGAAAATGTGAAACAAAAATCAAGATTGAAAAGACCTCATTTTCCACTTAGAAACATTTCAGATTGATATCTTAAAGGTGTTTAAAAAAATCTGTTACTATAAATGGCATAGGTCCTAAGCAGTGGTTCAGTCTCAGTCAACTATTCATTCAACCTAATTGCCTTCTGAGTCTCCAGGAACTACTTAAGCAAGAGTTTGTGTATATCTGTTGACTAAATATCAAGGATATTTTTAAATATGATCCTTCAAATATGTTACCCAAAACATGCTAATATAGATTGTTCTAGCAGTGAAAACTAGGGCACAAGCCAAAACATTTTATAAAGTACCCTGCATTAGTCAGAAAACAAAGGGTTAAGAAGTAGATTGGTTTCACATGTAATGAGTTATGTAGGTATGTGTTTAAGGCAGTTACTGTGTGTTTGACCTCTTGATATACTGAGCATTTGCCTTTCAGAACAGCTGGGTCTGCTGAGAATCATTTCCCAGTTCTCTTCATTGTAGATCAGATGACTCTCGCTTTATCACCCTTAGAGGCCACATGAAGGACAAAGCAGAAGGATCCACACACAAACTAATGTTTATATGGGGGGAGGAGGAGGGATGTACCTGGCCCAGATAGTCCAGTCAACAAAAAAGAAACGAGTTGAGAATTGGATCCACTGTGTTCCTCTACAGTTTTTTTTTTTTTTTAGCCATCTTTTGTTCCTATTGAACAATGGACTGTTTGGCTGTCTTGACCTTTGTGCATGTCTTGCTCCCTTACTTGTGGTTTGTGATTTGGACAGATTCCCCACCCACCCCAAGGCCTCGAAGGATAAAGATTCTAGTGAGCTTCATATGATACACGAACTCACACCCTATTCTCTTGCTTTAAGAAGCAAACCTGGGGGCTGGAGAGATGGCTCAGAGGTTAAGAGCACTGACTGCTCTTCCAGAGGTCCTGAGTTCAGTTCCCAGCAACCACATGGTGGCTCACAACCATCTGCAATGAGATCTGGTGCCCTCTTCTGGCCTGCAGTCATACATGCTGTATACATAATAAATAAATAAAATATTTAAAAATAAATAAATAAATAAATAAATAAAATTAAAAAAAAAAAAGAAGAAGCAAACCTGAGTGCATTAGCAGTGGAGAACACTGCATTTCTCAAAAATGCCTCTTCACTCAAAAATATATTTGAAAAGAACACGGAAGACTTCATTTTTTGACAGATAAGAAAACAAGGCTTCCTATCTTTACTTAATTTTGTATAACTAAGTACTATTAAACCTCCCGTGTTCAGGCTAGCCTCGAACTCATGATCCTTCTGATTGTAGTTCCTAAGTGCTAAGATTACAAGTGTGTACCACCAAGCCCAGCTCTAAGTGCATCTTAAGCTGGTTTCTAATGAATATGAGAGCTGCTGACTTACACTGCCCATCCCAAGTCTCCTTTAAAGCTGAAGGTTACTCAGTATGGTTAGGCTATATCATCTGAAAAAAAAAGTGTTTCTACTGAAAGAATTTATGTACATAAGAAATGCTAAATCTAGCACCATGTTTATACTGTTAATTACTTTTATTTTTGAGTAATAAGGTTGCTCTACTGAATTTCTGGCAAGTTAGACCTTTGTCATTAATGGAAATCAGCATTTCTGTGTTAAACTCAGATACATTTTTTTTTAAATAGAGTATTAGAGTTAAACCAGCCAGCCAAGATGCTGTCAGTCGGGCCCAGTGGTAACGAACAGTGGCCATGGACAGTGATGCCCCTGCTGACTGGACAGTGACCAAGGCTGCTTCTCTGTGCTGATCTTGCCCTTTCAATCCTCACGCACGTTTGCTGTGTCTAGGCCCACTTCCTTTATCAGACTGAGAAACACACATTTCCTTGCATCAGCCTATTCATGTCCAGAACTAATTCTTTCTACTACTTTAGAATATGCCATTAATGACTTTATTTTTTAACTATATTATGAAAGAAATATACACAAAATAGGTTAGTGGTAAGGTGACTTTAATTTTTATCAGAGACTAAAAGAAAGAGCTTTCCATGAGAAAGAAGAACATACTACATGGTTTTTACCAGCTGAGATCAGTACAGCGAGCACAGGGAAGGGAGAACCATAGCTATGAACAAAGGGGGGGCATGGCCTGAGTAAACACTGTCAGTGGAGACCTGACACATGGAAACAGAGGGAGATGGAATCTTGATAAAATAGTTTAATTTAGAATGACTAGAAATGTAGAACTAATGACCATGAGTAACCAAAAAGGCTTCAAACTTCTTAGATTTATAGTCAGTAGTTCTTTTTAAAAATGGAATCAAGTGATTCTATATCCCTGGAAACAAAAATACCATTTACTTTATTAGCATCCAATTTTGCATATGCAATGATACATATTCAATTTCAAACAATATAACATACCTTTTCAGTAATTAAAAAAAGTAAATTCCCTGAGATACAACTTTAAATGAGATGCTTATTACTCATATGCTAAAGCTCAAACAAGACAGAAGCTTAATTCTTCCAATAAACTCACTATAGTTACAGTTTTTAAAAAATCCTAATTTACAGAATGTATTTCATTATTAAATATTGGCATTAAGGACATTTTTTCTCTCCCTTTTTTGTTGAGACAGGGGTATCATGTAGCCCAAGCTAGCCTCAAACTTTCTATGTAACCAAGGATGACCCTAAACCAAGGTCCACCTGCCTCTATCTCCTGGTACTAGGACTGAAGATGTGAGCTACTACAACCAGCTGGGACATTTTTTTTCTCTTATTTTATCATTTAAATATCTGTGATTATTACCAAAATTACAATATGCTTTACCAAAAAATACTTAAAAAGCCAGTGCTTTGGTCCCATATACAGTTTGTGTAGGTAACAATAGGCAGTGACCATTTCTTTTCCTATGACGCCATGATTCTAAAGATGTACACTCACTCATACATAACAAAAGATTGCATTTGACTAGGAAAATAGCTAGTTGATTTTCTTACGATTTCTTCCATTTCTGGAATCCCACATGATTACAATGTTAAAGTATACCAAAAAGAATATAAAGTTTACACAGGACACAAAACACACCAGTACAGAAAACAAGTCTGGTAATTTCTGGGGAGGATTCACTGTGACACTCAAAATCGTCAGAAGGACCATGGTGACGACTGAAGACAGAAACTGTAAGAGAAAAGAAAAACTGTTACTGAGTGGCAGAGAAGGCCAGGCCGGTGTGCTGGCTGCATTTCTTGTCAACCTGGCACAAGCTGGAGTCATCTGGGTAAAG